CTAGAAAGGCCCACGTAGCAAAGGTTATGGGTTGGATGTTTCTGTGTCTCCAAGATTCACCTTGAAAGCCAATCCTCCATGGGAAAGTACTAAGAGGAAATGGATGGATGTTAGGGGGTGGTTAGGTGTAAGGTCTCTGTGGTCACAGGCGGAAGTGGTGCTTATAAAAGACCTGGAGGGAAGTGAGTTCACTGCTTGCAGCTCATCTGCCTCTTCTGCCACAGGAATGTGCAGCTCAACGCTGCCTGCCAGGAGCAGACGGAGCCCTCATGAGAGCTGCGTCTGCTGGTGCCTCCATCTTGGACTTCTTGGCCTCAGAAATGGGGGAAATAAATATGTATGATTTGTCAACTATCTAACCTAAGACATTTCGTTGTAGCAACGAGAATGGACTGAAAACAGCAAGGAACTGAATTCATCCACAGCCAGTGAGGAATGGAGACCATCCAACCCAGCAGTCCTTAAGGAACTGAATTCTACCAGTAGCCCTCATGGGCTCGCCACAGGTTTTTCTCTAGTTGACCATTCAGATGAGACCATAGGCCTTCATGTTGTCTACAGTGCAGTCTTTTGAGAGGTCTGGAAGAAGGAAACCTGACAAAACAGTGGCCAAACTCCTGACCCTTAGAAATTATGAGGTAATAAATGCATTTTCAAAAAGTTAATTTCAATTTTATGTGTACATGTGAATATCTGCATGCTTGTCTATGTACCACATTTATGCCTGGTGCCCATGGAGGTAGGAAGAGGACATTGGGTCCTCTGGAACTGAAATGAAAGATGGTTATGAGCCACCGTGTGGGTTCTGGGAACTGAATGAGATTTCTCTGCAAGAGCAGTCAGTGTTCTTAAATGCTGAGCCCTCTCTCCAGCTTTAAATGTGGTGTTTGAAGTCTGTTTGTGCTAATTTGTTACACAGTAGTAATAGAACTCATGAGATGTAAAATGCTAACACTAGTAAAGACAGAACCATATTGATGTCAAAGTAGCTGTTTTAAATTATTTTTCTCATTTTTTAAATTTTTTGAAATTAAAATGCAATTATATAATTTTCCCCTTCCCTTTCTTCCCTCCAATCTCTCTTATGTATCCACTTCCACACTCTCTCTCAAATTTAAATTCATGGTCTCTTTTTCTTTAATTATCCTTTTATACACATACAGAGAGAGAGAGAGTTTGTTCTATATATGTAAATATAGCCCACTCATATACATAAAAGTAATATTATATAGACACCCTAATATCATGAATGACAGAGGTAATGTGACAGAATTTACAGCCAGTAAAAGATAATAAGCATCAACTTCCTGCCAACAAATTAGACAATTTCGCTGAAAGAGACAAATCTCTGTGAAAGCTTGCTTTAAGAGAAACAACCTTCTACTTAGGAGAGAACGGGAGTTCACAGTTAGAAACCTCTTGCCAAGAAAACACCACATCCGCATAGCTTTGGTGGTGAACTTCATCAAACACCTGAGACAATTTAAGATCTAGAAAAAGGAAGAGGGAGGAGAAGGGACTGCTTCTCAGGTCATTACTGAGACTGTATCACTGATGTTCAAATCAGTCAAAGATGGTGTAAGATAACCATAGACTAATGTCTCTTATGAGTATAAGTATAGACATTAAAAAATATCATAGCAAATGAAAACCAATTATCATCTATCTATCCATCCATCCAACTCTCTATCCACTCATCCATGCATCCACCTATTATCTCTCTTTATCTATCTATCTATCTATCTATCTATCTATCTATCTATCTATCTATCTATCTATCTATCATCTACTATCTCTCTCTATTTCTCATTTATCATCTGTTATCTATCTATCCATCGATCCACCATTTTCCATCTATCCATTCATCTATCCATCCATCCATCCATTTTCTATCTATCTATCTATCTATCTATCTATCTATCTATCTATCTATCTATCTATCTGCATACAATAATCAATGAGTGTAGTTAATAAACCCAGGAATGCAAGGTTAGTGTAACATCTGAAAATCAATGTTAAGAGACAAAGCAAGGTCATATGATCATTTCCATGCATATAAAAAAATTTAAGAAATCTCAATGTCCATATATAATACAAACTCTCAACAACCTAAGAATAGAAAGAGTGCTTTGTCTTTTAAAAAGACAATCTACAAGGACCCTTCTAAGTAGTATTTCATACTATCGAATACTACTCAGCATGAAAAAGGAATGATCTCTGGGCTGTACACAACAACAATATAGGTGTGCGTCAGAGTAACTATGCTGAGGAAAAGAATAGTGTGATATCCACATGCAAAAGCAAACACACACACACACACACACACACACACACACACACACACACACACCAGTCACTTTGATCACCTCTCACAACATATTCAGACATAAACTCAAAATGGGTCATAGATTTTTCTGGATCAGCTCATTCTTGGCATATGACAGTGGGTCCCACAGTGCTTGAGACAGAAGAAAGATGTGTTGTTGTTGTTGTTGTTGGTGGTGGTGGTGGTGGTGGGGTGAGGACAGGCTTCTTTGCATCTGTACACAATTGTTGGGGGAACCTATGGAATGAACTGTGAGCTCAGAGGTAGCAAGATGGTCGTTTGGCTCCCCGAGATTTAGATCAGACACAGGACCATTGTGAGTCCACGGCAGTGGGAATGGATCTAACTTATCTTGGGCTGATATCTGAGATCCAGGCACACTCCTGCAGCCAGGTTCCAAGTGCAGAACCTCTCCCACCATTAGCCTGCTTTTGTCTATTGAGTTTCCTGAGAAACTGCAGGACACAGTGTCTGGGGTTACTTTGGCCTTGAAGTTATAACTCGAGGTGATTGCAGTCTGGGCAAGATGAATCCAGATTTTAATGTAGGACTGTAAGATTTAAGTTTGTAGATGAGAATGTGGAAAACCTTCGTGGGCTTGGGTCAGGCAGAGAAGTTTTAGATAAAATAGCCCAACACATATCCTAAAAGAGTACAATTGACAAACTGAACTTTATCGAAATGAAGACCTATTCTTCACAGACATCAAGAGAAGATGATAGAAGGTACAGGTTGGGAGCTGGTGCTTATCAATCAGGTGTGATGAGGGCCTCGGACCCTCAATATATAAAGAAATCTCAAAGTTTTAACATGAAAATATCTGAACTGAACATCTGGACAAAGGATCCGAACAGATAGCTCACCCAAGAAGAAATACGGATGGTAGATAAGTATGGGTTAAGTATCTGTGAATAAGTCCAATATAATTGGGAAATAATATAATAGGGGAAATGCACACTGAAGCCATGGTGCCTTTCCTTCCCCGTGTCTGTCTGCCTGCCTGCAATTCAAATGCCCGTGTTGCTGAAGGGAATGTAAATGGCCTAACTTGGCATACCACTGTGGTAGTAATCTTAAAGTTACCTTTGTTAACTCATCAGACAGTCCAGCTATTGCAACCCTAGGTTTACCAAAACGTAATAAAAGCTTATAAAAGGACACAAAAGCTCAGGGATATTTGATTTGCAACAGCCCCAAACTGGAAACAATTAACCGTCTTTCATCATCATCATCATCATCATCATCATCATCATCATCTTGCAGTAACTAGGGATTGAACTCACAATCACAATTGTGTGAATTCACAGAGTCTCACAAATCCGGTGAAGTGCCTTAACCTGAACTACATGTCCGAGTTCAAATATCTTTCAGTTAGGAATGGATAAAACACACTGTGGTACATCCACACTGTGAAATACTACTTAGCATGAAAAGGGAATGAACTATGGGATACCCACGACAATATGGATGTATCCCAGAAGAAGTATGTTGCGGGAGAGAAGCTAGAATATGAAATTTTAGAAATTGTGCAACTTCTTGATGTCCTTCACAAGGCTTTGGGCCCCTAGCATCTCCTATTCTCAACCCAGCGCCTAACGTCTTTGCCTGCTTGCTGCACAGCGCGCCTCTAGGGGCAGAAGAACCAGGTAACTTTGGGCAGGTGGGGAGCAGACGACCCCAGCAAGATCCAAGTGCAAAATGGAGTGATTTTATGTTATCGCCACTACAGAGAAAGCAGCCAAGCAATTATAACGCAAGGGCAGGAGCTAGATTATTCAAAAAGAAATGTTGGGACGACACAGCACAGGCAGGAAACCCCAACAGCAGCACCAAGGTCGCGGGTGGGGGATGGGGTGGGGGATGGAGTGGGGGATGGAGTGGGGGATGGGGGTGAGCTTTGCTCCTCCCCGACCCCAGGCAGCACAACCCGGGCGGGTGGAGTCCTTGCGGGTCTCGGAAGCCCCTGCCCGAGGAGCTAACCATTTATGTCACACTGTGACAATTATTCTGCATAAAATTATCATTAAAAACCCTAATTTTTCAGCTTCCAACCCCGCCAGTGGCCTTTTAGCATTCTTCAGCGCCGCGTCTGCAGGCCGTGATCAGAGGCTCATTACCGCGGCGTGGCGCCCCGCGCGCTCGCAATCAAGCGCTAATTAACCCGCCCGGGGCCGCGCCGGAGGGGCGGGGTCGAGGACGGTCCAGCGGCCGGTGGGGCGGGGTTCATGGCCTGGGGACTATCCCAACCTGGGCCCTAAAGATCCCAGCCTGGGGCTGTGAGTCAGGATCATTGACCTGGGAATTAGGTTCAGAATCTCAAGCCTGAGGACCAGGGTCAGGGTCTCTGATGTGGGGAGGAGGCTTAGGGTCCTCGGCTTGGAGCCTAGGGACAGACTTGGGGCCTAGAGTCACAATCCCAGGTTTGGGGACTAGGGCACATAGGTTCTGGTCTGGGGACCAGATTCAGAAAATCTCCAGCATGCGGACTAGGGGATAGATAGGTACCCGGCCTGGGAAGTGGGGTCAGGGTCCCTAACCTAATCAGGGGCCTGGGAAAGAAGCAAGTATGGACCCAGGCCTGGAAACATGTGACCAAAGGCCAGACTTGGGTCTAGGCCTGAGACTTTCCAAATTTGGGTCCTGAGACCAGTCAGCGGTGCAGGGTTCAGCTTACCCCAGAGAGGCGGGTGTGCGGCATAGGTGCAGGGGTGCCAGGCCCTCCGCGCTGAGCAAATCTGGGTCTGCCCCGTGCTGCAGCAGCAGCTGGGTGCAGGCGGTATGGCCCCCGAGACAGGCCTCGTGTAGGGCACCGCGACCTCCGGGCCTGGCATCCGGATCGGCGCTGTGACTGAGAAGGTGTCGCACGCAGAACACGTGGCCGTGGGCTGCCGCGATGCACAGCGGTGTGGTGAGCTCCCGCTTGTACTCCAGGGTCCAGAGGCCTGGGAGGGGAAGGGAGGGGACTTGATGTAAGGCTGGGGTAGATGGACGGACTGGTGGGGCGGGAGCGCAATTTGCTAGAGTTGAAGGGTGAAACTACTTCTTAGAGGTTAAGTACCAGATGGACGTGTGCGCTGAGTCACTTGAGAGTAGAGTTAGAGATGCATACCCCAGACAGAGAGCAGAGAGACACACAGAGTGAAAGACAGGATCCACGGAGGAAGAAGAGAAGAGACTGGGGAGGGCTGTGATTGATATTACTGCGAGATAAGGGGGAGTTCCCAGATTTGGGGCGTCTGGAAATCTGGTAAAATTTGGAGTTAAAGGCTGGTCCAGGAGGAAGGATGAGATGAGATAGGATGTATGTATGTATGCGTGTATGTATGTGTGTATGTGTGTATGTATGTATGTATGTATGTATGTATGTATGTATGTAATCTCAGTGCAGAAGGCATCTCTTCTAGGCTCTGGGTTGGGGGTAGCTTGAGAGAGGAGTGGGCTGTGGAATTTTCCAGAATCTAACCTTCTGCCGCCTACCCTTTCATCATTAAAAGGAAACAAACATACAAAACAAACCCCATCACCAAGGTTTGCTGAAGAAAAGACTTCTGAAAAACAAAAAGTTGAGTGTTCATAGAAATGGCTGCTATGGAAGGCTGCTTTCATGCGGCTGTCCAAAGTCCACATGATTCTGGCGTGCATGCGTGCGTGCGTGCGTGCGTGCGTGCGTGCGTGCGTGCGTGTGTGTGTGTGTGTGTGTGTGTGTGTGTGTGTAGGGCTGTTCCTTCTCTATGGATGAATGAGCACACTGTGTGTTTGGCTTCTCTGAACATTTCTCTGCTCTCATAAAGCCAGGGCAAGGTTGTTAGTGGCCAGGAGCACCTGTGGGACCGGGAGGTGTCCTCTGTGAATACCATCAAGGGACAGACGGCTTTCTGTAATGATGGAAGAATCAATAAGGTGCCTGTAATGAGCTGCACAGGAGACCCTTTCTGAGGCCACCTCCTTCCTGGGACACATGCTGGGCTGTTTTGAAAGCCCACACTCATTAATTATCTACCTGCATGTGGCAGAGAGTCCCAGCCTGCTGCTTGTCCCCAAGGCCCAGCCTTGAGCTTGCTGTTTGCTCAGTGTGGAAAGTGGGGAGGGATTGTCGTCACTGGTGTGGCGTGACAGTAGTCAGAGACCCAGGGATTGTGTGTGTGTGTGTGTGTGTGTGTGTGTGTGTGTGTGTGTGTGTGTGCCTGGGGTTGGGCTCACTTTTCTAGGGAAAACAGTCTGATTACAGGGATGGGGTGGGTCTTCCTTGAGGAGATTGACCCCCCTGTCTTCCTCAGGGACCACACCTTGAACTCCTGCTTTGGTGTGTTCCCCAAAATACAGACTCTGCTCACTTTTCCAGAGCCTTCGAAGTCCCTAGCCTACTCTGCTGCCTTCCCCAACCCCCACAGTTCTGTATGCCCACCCTGATGAGCCAAGACTCCCTAGGTCTTGGGCTGTACTGATAAGATTCCTTCACACTAAGCCGGGCGGTGGTGGCGCACGCCTTTAATCCCAGCACTCGGGAGGCAGAGGCAGGCGGATCTCTGTGAGTTCGAGGCCAGCCTGGGCTACCAAGTGAGTTCCAGGAAAGGCGCAAAGCTACACAGAGAAACCCTGTCTTGAAAAACCAAAAAAAAAAAAAAAAAAAAAAAAAAAAAAAAAAAAAAAAGATTCCTTCACACTAACAAGAAAACCTAAACTTCTGGGCCCAAGAGACGACAAGGTTGATAAAACGCTTGCTCCGAAAATACAAGGACTTGAGTTTGATCTCCAGAACCTACATACAAAATCTGGGTATGGTGGTCCATGCTTGCAGCCCCAGTGCTGGGGAGATGGAGACCGGAAGACATTTGGGCACATTGATCTGACAGCCTAGCCTAGTTGAGAGACTCTGTCTCAAGAATCAGTGTTCCCAGGGGCTGTTTCTGCTCTGGGGAGTCAGGGGACTGGGCAAACCACCAGGGAATCTAAATATCCCTGAGCCCTTGCTTTCCTGGTCCTCACTGAGTCGGGGCTGATTAACTGGACTGGCATTTCCATGGCGCTCCGACATCAGCACATTCTAGTGTCCTGCCCTGCAGATGTGTGTTCTAGGAAGGTGTGGAATATAGGGGTCAAAAGACTAAAGGGAGAAAAGGGACTAAATTTTAGATTTTGGCAACATGAAAAAGATGGGGTGGTGGAGGGTGGTTTGCCAGGGATGGGTAGCATGTGATATGAAAAATAAACAAAGCTTAGCATTTAAGCAGCTGACATTCTTGGTCTGAGGCAGGCGAAGGAGGGAAGCCCAGAAAGATCCCACTAGGAGGTGGTGCAGTCCAGACTAGGATTGTCAGCACCCAGCCAGCAGGCCCCACGCTCCTTACTATCTGCATAGCTCTTGGGCAGTGTTTGGGGTCCAGTTCTCCCTTCTCATGAGAGGTATACACGGAAATATGCTGGTAAAGATTTACCTTTCCACGTGCTTAGTCTGCTAGAGCTCCCCGGTTAGGACTTGGGATACTGGCTACAGATCCTCAAATTCCCACGGTCTGCCAGAGCTGTGGTGGATTTCAACACAGCAGCGCACAGCAGGTGGGTGCCTAGTGCAGCCTACCAGCCCCAAAGCCTGAGTACATCTGGATGGCTCAGCACGTAGCAGTCACATCTGAGAGGCCCAAGTGTGCCCTGACACACAACACAAGGATCTACGGATTTACTTCCCCTTTCTTTTTTGCTTTCAGGCTTCTCTAGGTCCTAAGAGGAGGGTCTTGGTTCCTAGTGTTCTTCCCTCTGTTGAAGCTGTTTGGGTTTTAGGATGTCACTTGCACTGGCGAGTTCCAGTGGTGTTCCGTGACTCACAGAAGGACCTCACACAGAGCTTCGTGTCAGAGGTTTGTCTAGTCTTCTGTGGCTCCCTCAGCTGCCAAGATCAACAGCTAAACCAAGGCTTTGCTTTCAAGGCAAGAGACACATCCAACATCACTGGATGGGTGCTTCTTACCCATCATTTTCCTTTTCCTAGCCTGTCCCCCACCAGACCAGGTTTGTTTACAGAGCTCCCTTAGTTACACGCTCCTGACAGGCAGTCTATGGACTCAACCTTCACACAGGATGCACACGTCCCCAGAGTGTTAGTCAAAGCTTAAAGACACACAACTGAGCTTTAGAGGAAGCAGGGTACCTGAGAGCCCAAAAGTGGCCAAGGATGTCACCTGCCACTCCATCTCTCCATTAGTGATCTCAAACACCATGTTGGCATCCTGGAAGAACTGGTCCATGAGGGACTGAATATGGTCCAGGTCTCCTGCAACCAATGCAGCATGGAACTCAAGCTTGGGAGTCCAAGCTCTGCCCTGAGGCTCTCTGTTCATCTTCTGGAAGATTTGCAGTTTTCTTCCAGCTGGGTCTGGTTGCCTCTCCATTGCAGAACAACTGATTTCAGGACGGGTTCTTTAGCAGAGGAAGAAGGCCTTACGGAGAGTGGGCTATTTCCATTGTCATTACTCAATTGTCCTCCGGCTGGAGCCCCATGGTGGTGTATTTATAACTCCTGTGGGTTCTGATGTGATAATGGTTACTTGATATGACTGGGGTCATGTGACTACTGAGATGTCACTGCGTTCTCTCCCTCCCTGATTGTATAGATGTTAACCCCAAAGGAAAAAAAAATGCTTCTGCCCATCTTAGTGCTGCTCTGCACATGTTGAGTCAAAGACAGACACTGACCACATGTATTTATCCTGATGGACAGATGCAGCATTTCTCTTATTCACTGTTTAGTCAGGTGACCCCCAGCCTTACACAACATTGATGATACTTGTTCGTGCAGGTTAAGTGACTAGTTTGTAAATATGACCTCAGTGGCCAAAACACTTAGCAGATAAATAATATTCTCTCAGATAAAAAAACAAACATTATATTTAGAAATGGTAAGTAAGGGTCTTAAGAGGAAAGACACAGGGGGCCTGCATGCATGGCTACTGCTGCTTAAGGACTGTGGCATCCACTCGGGATAACAGGCTTGGAGAGAAAGAGGCAGGGCCAGGCTTGCTCAGTGATGTGGTCAAGCTGTGACCGGAGCCCATTGCATTGGTCTTTCAGAACCTGCTCCCTGTCCAGCAGTCCACACTGCCCACATCCCAGGGCTGACAGCGGCATCTGCTCAGAACTCCAGTCCAACTTCCAGAAGCTGCTTTGCAGGGAGGAGGGAGGAACTTGGTTTGGTGCTGAAGGAAGGATGCGATGGTTCCGGTGAGTCGCTGGAAGGAGACTGAAGCCCAGTGCGGTCAGCCCTTTGCTCCCAGTGTGTATAGCGCTCAGGTCCTAACAGTGGTTTCTACACGGACAAATGTTTGACAGTTTCAAGGTGCTTCGGAGATGGCGCAACCAGTAAAGCAAAGGACTTGAGTTCAATACCCAGAACCCATGTCAAAAAGAAGTCGGGTGCAGTGATGTAAGCTTGTATTCCCAGGACTGGGGAAGCACAGATGGGTGGATGCCTGGGACTCCCTCGCCAGCCAGCTTAGCCTAATTAATTAGTGATATTTCCAGACCAACACGAGATCTGTCTCCACTAAAGGTAGATGGCTTCTGAGGAATGACAACAGGCCATTAAGACTGTGTTTCAAGACAGCCAGGCTATATATACCTCAAGCTGACAGCAAAACTTTGTAGTGTAGTCCACATGGCGCTGGTTCTGAGGTCCGGAAAGTTGCAAGAGTGAGGGGTTCCAGAAAGCAGCAAAGGCCATGTGATGTGTGGCAGGGTTAGATTCTCTGCAAGGAGGTCATGGGAAGCCATTGTCCAATGCTGTGACGGTGAAGCCTGAGTTTCTTTGGAGACCTCAGGACATCGGTGATGCTGGGATCATTGGATGCCCACCGAGGAGCATTTCAGGCACAGGGTAGAGCTGGCCCAGGGGAATCGATGTGCGCTGCAGATTGCAGAGCTGGAGGGCGGGACTGGAGCTCAGACAGCAGATTTGGAGCCACGGGACTCGGTGTTTGTCCTGTCTTATAGGAGCTGGTGTTTGGTCCTGCTTTGGTCTACTCTTTCTTCCCTGTGCCTGCCCCCTCCCTTTTGGACTGGGGGTGTTTACTCTGTGCTGTTGGATATTGGAAGTATGTGACTTGCTTTTATATTTTACAGAAGCTCATAGTTAAGAACTTGTCTTGAGGGCCATAGAGATGGCTCAGCAGATAAACACCTGTTCCACAAGCCTGTCAACCTAAGTCCGATCCCTGGAACCCACATAAAGGTGAAGGAGAGAACCAACTCCACAGAGCTGTTCTCTGACTTCCACATACTCCCTCACACACAAACACAACCATAAGAAATACATAAGAAAGAAAAAAGGAGTTTGCCTTGAATCTCAGATGAGACTTTGAGTTCTCTCTCTCTCTCTCTCTCTCTCTCTCTCTCTCTCTCTCTCTCTCTCTCTCTCTGTGTGTGTGTGTGTGTGTGTGTGTGCATACTTGTAGATTGCACTTCCATGTAGAGGCCTGAAATTAATGGTAGCTCTCCATTTTATTTATTGAGGCTGTGTCTCTAACTGAATCCTGAGCTTGCTAGGTAGCCAGCTTGCCCAGGCTACCCCCACCCCCCATCTCTGCTTTCTCAGTACCAAGGTTGCATGCGGCCCTCATGCCTGCCTGGCTTTTCCATGGGCATCTGGGGATCTGAACTAATGTCCTTGCACTTGTGTGGCTGAGCCAGCTGCTGGTCCTGGACATTCGAACAGTATTTGGACCATTAAAGACTATGGAGATGTTTGGAAATGAACTCAATGCACTTTGCATTGTGAGATGAGAATGAAGCTTTAGGCAGAATATGATGACTTAAAATGACATATTTGGGTGTCGAGCCGATGGAGGATGGAACTGTGATAGTTAATTTTCATTGTTAACTGGACTGAATTTAGAACCACCACAGATACAAACCTCTGGGTGTGCATACAGGGTGTTTCCCAAAGGGTTTAACTGAAGTGGAAAGACCGCCCCGCCCCTTCAGTGCAGGCAGCACCATCTCATTGGCTGGAGTCCTGGACTGAGTGGAAAGAAGGAAGGGAGCTGAGCATCAGCGTTCATCTCTCCCTGCTTCCTGGTTGTGGACAAGGTGCGAGCAGCTGCCTGCCCCATGCTCCTGCAGCCACAGCTGGAGTGATTTTACCATCATACCTTCCCTGCGGTGCAGACCGCGCCTTCAAACTTTGAACCCAGATAGACCCTTCCTTTGCTAGGTTGCTTTTCATGAATATTTTGTCACAGTGACGAGAAAGACAGTATACCCATCTTTGCTCTTGGTACAGACCCGAGTCACAGGCACAGGTGGGTGTGCACAGGCTGACCCAAAGGCTGGAGCCTGCCTGTGTAGCAGGAATCTTCAAAGTTCTTATTAATAAAATCAAACCTGAGGCCAGTTATTGGGGTCAATGCTGGTAGATCAGAGAGACAGAACAAGCCACAGCTATCTCACCTCGTCAGTTCCTCAGCTGGTCTTGTTTCCTCAGACTGAAGGCCTCTGAGTCCTCATCCAGAATGGGTCTCAGCTGAATTATTGCTCAAAAGCCTGAATGCTTAACCAGCCAAATTCTGAACCAGCCTCATGCTTAACCAGCCAAATACTTCTAGTTTTTGGTCCTCACGCCTTTTATATCTTTTTGCTTTCTACCACCACTCCCTGGGATTA